TTCTGGATAATAGAAGAGAGACCTTTGCACGTTTCTCATTCTAAGAGAGAAAACCAGTGCACATGGTGCCGATGGGGAGGGAGTGGGAAGAGCAGATCGCTCTCTCCAGCAGCACTAACACCAGCCAGGCCACTGGGCTGAGCACCTTTAAAGCATTAGCCCTGTGAACGCTTAAAACAACACTGTACCTAAGTTTTTCTCATTTTACTGAAAAGGACTGATTCCTCGAGTTCACACAATTTGTAAATGGAGGAGCTGGGGTTTTAAGCTCAGGTTCTCTGATTCTCAAGTCCAGCTCTTGTTCCTTGAGCAACCGTTGGTATAGCCGTGTCCGCCAGTGCCCACCTCCCCTTGAAATCGTGGCTCTGCCCCTGCTATGAAAGCTGTGCTCTGTCCTCCAGGCCAACATGGGCCCTCTTGGGACCAGAGCAAGACCTTGTGCAGAAGCAGGAGAATTCCGGGCTTCCCCCCACAGGGGTCATCCCGTGTCAGCTGGGGATCTAAGTCATGTTGCATGTGCTCCTCCTGAAAATAGGGCTTTGGCTTCTGTCAGTTCTTCTTCTTTCCCTGGGGTTCAGGGTAGGACTAGAGACAGATACCTTTTTGCCTCCTCCATTTTCCCGTCTCTCTGATATAGCAGAGACTGGGGTTGTTCTGTTTACTGAAAATGCTAGTTGAGATGGGGTGTTATAAACAATGAAACAAATGTTTCTAAACATTTTAAGACCTATAACTACACATTCTTTTACCACTCTTATGATATAAAAGATCCTTTCTTTGAGTAGAAGACACAAATCGGAGCTCTATTATCCTCCTTATGTAATCACAACCTTCATGCATATCTGTGGGTTCTGTTTTATTTTTTAAAAACCAGATATGTGAAATGAATGTTGAAAGATATTTTTTTTTCTAATCTCCTAGCGTCATCGTGCCCACACCTATTGTTTTTTTTTTGCAAAGCACTCTTATGGAGTTTTTCCAAAGCAGTTAACCTAGTTTTCCTAGCAATAATAACTTTCTGTTTCACACCTACCAGCTCATGTACTTTTAAATTAAATTACATAACTAGAGTAGCAGATATAATTGCCACAAAAGGGCTAGGGAGCACACAGGATTGCTTCTTGGTGCCCGGGAGCAGCTGTGAGTGTCTTGTGCCCCAAATGACCTGCTGCAGGCACTCAGCATGCTTCCAGGGGTGGGAAGCCCCAGGGGAATCTAGTGGGTGCAGCTGCTGCAGGCCCCTTCCTAGTGTCTGCTGCACCCCTCTGATTGTCCAGCCCCTAGAGAGGCCCCATGCGGACGCATTAATGAGAAGTGAAGTGACTGATTTAGGGCTTGGCCTGGTTGGTTAGACATGCTTAGGCAGGCCAGCATCCCCAAAGTAGGACAACTGAGAATCTTAAAAAAACTACAGAACTTATTCTCTGCACCCCCTCCCCCCCCAACCCCCTATGGGCAAATAGAAGTATCTTGCCTGCTTTCATGTATAAACTGGTTGATATATATTCCTGTATCAGGATCATAAAGATGGCTTCTATTTCCTCAGCGGTGAAAACTGCCTTTTTAGAGGCCTCCAAGCCAGAACTTAAAATTTAACTTCTGCTTTGGTGCCACCAAGTGGTTGGTTGTGAGATACCACTCTTGAAGAGAAAGCCGAATAAACACCGTGATAACAAGAAATCTGAGCTGAATAGGCAGAACAGAGGATTTTTAGGACAGTGAAACTATTTTGAATGAGATTACAATAGTGGATTCATGTCATTATTTGTTCAAACCTACAGAATGTACACCATCAAGAGTGAACCCTAACTTAAACTGTGAACCCTAGGTGATAACGTATCAGTATAGATTTATTGATTATAACAGTGTGCCACTATGGTGGGGGATGTTGATAATCGGGGGTGGGGGGTGGGGGGGTGGGCGGATGATGCATATATGGGGGTAGGGGGTGTATGGAAACATCTGTACTTTATGCTCACTTCTGCTGTGAACCTAAAACTGCTTAAAAAAAAAATAAAGCTTATTGCCCCAGCTGGATGGCCCATTTTGTTGGAGTGTCACCCTGTACAACCAATTGTTCTCTGTCTCTCTCTCTCTCTCTCTCTCTCTCTCTCTCTCTCCCTTCCCTTCTTTCTAAAATCAATAAACATATCCTCAGGCGAGGATTTACAAAAAGCTTATTAATTAAAAAAAATCTTGCCGAAACCGGTTTGGCTCAGTGGATAGAGCGTCGGCCTGTGGACTGAGAGGTCCCGGGTTCGATTCCGGTCAAGGGCATGTACCTGGGTTGCGGGCATATCCCCAGTGGGAGATGTGCAGGAGGCAGCTGATCGATGATTCTCTCTCATCGATGTTTCTAACTCTCTATCTCTCTCCCTTCCTCTCTGTAAAAAATCAATAAAATATATTTTTAAAAAAAATCTTTTATTCTACATATTTTCTCCCTTGAGCAAATGGTGTTGCAGGTAAGAGCAAGGTAAGATAGAGACACCCTCCAAGAGGCTGTCTGGCTTCTCGGGCATGAATGAAAACCCCCTCGTGAACCTCCCATATTCCAGAGTCTGGATCCTTCGCTCTGTAAATCCCAGAAACCTTTTATTTTTTTCAGTGTATCGGGAGTTGCTCAGTTTTCCAGGGTTATATCATGCTCACCAAATGTCAGAATGCCGGGGTATCACTATACAATTGGAAATGTAGTTGTAGCGGTGGACCCAAGCACGTTAGCTGAGCAGTTCATTTCCCACCCAGCAGCAAATTTATATGGGAAGACAAATTATACCGAGTGGGCCATTTGGTGACGTCTCAGTGGCATGATGAATGTGTGGTCAGGGGAGTGGGGAGCATAAGGTTGTTTTTTAAGTTGACTCTGACTTGCCCACCGTAGGTCTGCATATAATTCAGATGATAACACTCACATGGCCGGGTGTACAGATCCTGGACAGTGCAGAGGACAGATTGACCTTGTCTGCTTCTTTGGGCCCCTTTTTGGAAAGTCTATGCCGGGCATCTTGCTTCTGTTCATCCATTCTCCTCAAACGGGACACAGTGTAACTGGCAATATTAATACTGTAGACTCGCGGATGTAGCTCCGGTCTCCTGAGAATCAGGTCACCATAGCACCATCAGTATAGGTTTTTGCTTAGGGGATCTGCTCTACTTTACCTCATGATAATTTTCAGTTCTTTCATTCTCAGAGGAAAACTTATGTTTTTGGTGATTCTGTTCCTAAATGCAGATTAAAATTAATACGTAAGATCCTTAATCACTTTAGAGTAGATTCTCAATAGCAAAACAGTACTTGCTGACGATGGACATTATTCTAGGCTCTGAGTCAATAAGAAGGCGTTTGTGCAGCGGCCCTCACTGCCTGCTTGCATTTACCAGCCTTGTCCTGTGATTCCTCATTGGGGCTCAAGGTATCTCTGGTTCTTGGTGCAGCACCTCCCACTCCTTCCTCTGTCCTTGCCCCAAACTGCTGCCATGTAGGGTCCTCAGTCAAGGTGACTTGGAGAATATTTGCAGAATTGATAAATTGGTGGCTCGTGGTTGGAATCTGATCCACAGATTTATTTATTTATTTATAATCCTCACCTGAGCAGTGAGGATATTTTTTCCATTGATTTTTGGAGAAAGCAGAAGGGAGATGGGAGGGATATATATATATATATATATATATATATATATATATATATATATAGAGAGAGAGAGAGAGAGAGAGAGAGAGAGAGAGAGAGAGAGAAACATCAACGTGAGAGAGACACATCAATTTGTTGCCTCCTGCTTGCATCCTGACTGGGGCCAGGGACTGAACCTGCAACCAAGGTACATGCCCTTGACCGGGAATGGAACCGGTAACCCTTCAGTCCAAGGGCCGATGCTCTAACTACTGAGCCAAACCGGCCAGGGCAGATCTCCTTTATTTTTGGCAAAATGTTTTTTGAAGTTTGACTCAATGGCCAAAACTTAAAATCAGGAGATTCATAAAAAAACTCTGAGTATACAATTTCTTTGCAAACAAGTAGGTCTGGTTAAGAAGGGCCTACATTCCCACAGGGAACAAGTTATTGGAGTGACCTGGGTAGGGCATGCCTCTTCCAGCTATCCTCATTCCCACCCTACCCTTTCACTCATTTATGTTACTGCTCGGTATTGGGGCGGGCGGGACTCTTTGTGACTTGAAAAATCAAAACCAAAAATAAAACACAGACACAAACCAAGCATAAGGAAAGCAGTGGCTGCCCCTGGACGCGCTCCCTGTCTCTTGCCTGCCTCCCGAGGGGATGCCTTCCTTGGATCCTGTTCCCAGCCTCTTTCTCTTCAGAACCTCCTTCTCTCATTATGCCACTTCTGAATTTATCCCTCGTGCTTCCCAGAGGTGTGGTGCTGGAGTGTCGTTGAGGAAAGCATACGGACTTCGGGATCACAGACTTGGGTTTGCATCCCAGCTCTGTGCCTCAGTGAGCTTAGTTTCCTTTTCTGTGAAGTGAGGGCTGTACCTCGCCTCACAGACTGGTATGAGTACCACATGGGATTTTGTGTACGAAGCATCAAACAGAAGGTGGGTACTCATATAAGAGTGTCTCTGCTCCTCTCTCTCTCCCTTTTTTAAACATCAAGATATGGCTCTCTCTCTGCTTCATGACCTTGAAGAAGTCAGCTGCACTTCCAGCTCTGCTTTCCCGCCACATACACCTCTTTACTCTCACGATAAAAGCCAACTATTTTATTTATTCCTCATAGCTTCCAGTCTTTTCCATCTTCACATTTCAAATATTTTCCTTTTCCTTTTGTAGCCAGACCTCTCTTAGAGACTCCCATCTGAGACTCCTGAGTGGCAGGTGAATTTGTTTGGGGAAATTCTGTAAGGACTCACACCTTTTATCAAATCTCTACAATCATTGTACATAGTTTTGTGATGGCAAATACTTTAGCTTTTACAGCAATCTGTTGGAATTCTTTCTAAATATTTGCACCTTTCCCCATCTCTTTTATCTCTACAGAAATAGAGCCAAGATCCAAAGCTGGAAATACCTCAACAGGAAAAATTGGTACCGGAAGGGAGACACTTCGCCTGAGGTCAAAAGGTCCTGCCACTGTGGAAGAAGTGGTATGTTATGCTCATTTGGCCCTCATTCTGCTTGCACATGTACATGAATTTATGGTTATTAGAGCTGAAAAGAAAGGTAAAACCATGAGGTTAAATAAGGTGCCATACATTCCAGTTAAAGCACAGACTTTAATTCATTGCCTTCTTACCAGTATTAAAATTATCGAAGGATTTAGAAGGAATATGGAAACTAAGCGTATGCGAAGAGACTGTGATCCAAAGCAATCCTCAGCTTCCTGCAGACAACTTTTTTTTCTGGAGTCTGTGGACATCTGGACTGGCTCAAAATGTTTAAGATATCAGCCAAAGCTCTGAGATCCAAGGAAAGTCTCAGAGCCACCTGAAGGAGTAAATATACTTCCAATTTTGGTAATAAAAGATAATATGCATGAATTCCAGTCTCCTCAAGTGAAACATTCTATAGTCATCTTTGACTGTTCTCTGTCATGTCCCACATCCCTCCCATCAGCAAATCCTGGTGGATCTGCGTCCACAATAGGCCAGAATCCAACAACAACTCCCCACCTCTACTCCCACCACTTGGGTCCAAGGCACCATGTCTTATCTTGAACATTACAATCACCTGGTCAGTCTTCCTGTGTTCACCCTGGCCCTCTTCCCTCTGCGCTCAGCACAGCAGCCAGAATTTTCATTCAAAAACACCAATGAGGTTAAATTTCTTTTCTGTTCAGAACCCTCTGTTAGCTTCCCATGTTACTCTGTATAAAAGCCGAAGTCCTCCGCATGACTGACATGATCCAACTCTGCATTGCTTCTCTGATCTCATTTCCCACCACGGTTCCTGTCTTCCTCTGTGTCAGCCACCTGAGTCTCCTTGCTCTCCCCAGACAGGCCAGATGTGTGCTGCCACCGCAGGGTCTTTGTACCGCTGTTTCCTCTCCCTGAATGCTTTGCCCATTTGTGAGCATGGCTCCCGCTCTGGCCTTCTTCAGGTTTCTGCCCACATATCACCTTCTCTGAAAGGATGCTTCTGAGCATCTTGTATAAAGAGCTATTCCTGCTGCCCCTCCCACTTCCTAATTTTTCTTCCTTTACTTTTCTTCAAAGCAGGAAACACAATAGGACTCATTGCCTCCTTGTTTCCTTTTTGTCTATTGTCTGGCTCCTTTGCTCACATGTCTTGTTCACTGTGGTATCCCAGCACCTAGAATAATAGTACCTGACACATCAAAGGAGCTCAAATCTTTGCTGAATTAATGAATTAACAAATGATTCACTTAAACTTGAGCAGAGGGAGGGTTTCACTGATTAACTGGGTCAGTATTGGAGTGAAAAACACCAGAAGTAGAAGAGACAAATGGAAGGAGGAAGGGTGGACCAGGAGGGCAGCAGGGGTGAGGGGCAGGATTCGAAGTGGCAAGCGGCAGGTCAGGCCCACTCACAGCAGCAAAGACAGCGGTGATGTGGCAGTTGCCCTGTGGGCACAGGGGAGATGAGGCAGGTGTCTGAGGCCAGGGGGCTTCTGAAGGCAGGGACCCAGGCACCGGGCCCGTCTAGTCCCTCTGTGTGCGCTTATTGTCCGAGGATCCCCCAGGTGTTTGAAGAGCAAAAGAGTGAGACAGGTGAGCCATTAGGAGGCTCTTTCTACAGACCAGGATCCCAGAGCTTGTGGGGTGACCATGGTCAGAGTCAGCCATGGGGGTGGCTTGATGGGGTAGATACTCAAGGAACCATGAGGCCAAGATTATCCTTCTGAATGTTTGAGTCACCCAGGGTGTTGTGAGCTTTGGGGAATCTAGGGGGAGATTTTGAGTCAGGGGACTTGGTCCTGAATGTCTGAAAGGACTGATTTGGAGGCAAAGGGCAATGAAGAGATTTGGAGGGTCAAAGGCATTTTGAAAGTGAGATATGATGAGGTATGTGAAAAACCAAAACCAAAACCCAGGGCAGTGACTTTTGGTCATTCCGAGTCTTTACCTTTCCCGTGCCCAGCACACTACTGGGCATATTGCCGAAGTCTATTTCATGTGTAGTGAATGAATGAACACACCTCAGTGGGAGACAGGAACATGTAAGAGAAGGAACAATAGTGGGAGCTCGCTCGCAGTGAGCAGTTAGGGGGATGAGGCTGGTCTGCACAGGAAGCAGGGGTGGCAGGGGAAGCTCCAGGTCACTGCAGGAGAAGTGTCTTCTGATAGTTAACATGGCTAACGTTTTTGAACACCGGCTTTGTATGAGCTGCTGGAATGAAGAGAAGCTGAAGATCCATGTGGGGAGGTAGGAAAGATTTATTCAAAGATAAACATCTAAAACTCCATTCCTATTCGCACAGCCTATTTAATTAAACAGGGCAATTAAAATAGCTCATAATGGAAGGAAAAAGCTAGTTTGGTGCTAACATTAAATTTGATACAAATAACTTACGATCTATTTCACACACTAAAGGGTTTATAGCAGCGGTTCTCAACCTGTGGGTCGAGACCCTTTGGGGGTCGAACGACCCTTTCACAGGGGTCACCTAAGACCATCGGAAAACACATATATAATTACATATTGTTTTTGTGATTAATCACTATGCTTTAATTATGTTCAATTTGTAACAATGAAAATACATCCTGCATATCAGATATTTACATTACGATTCATAACAGTAACAAAATTACAGTTATGAAGTAGCAACGAAAATAATTTTATGGTTGGGGGTCACTGCAACATGAGGAACTGTATTAAAGGGTCACAGCATTAGGAAGGTTGAGAACCACTGGTTTATAGGATTGAAAAAACATCCCCTCGTAACCTAGCACCACTTCTGATGTTAACTAGACTTCTTGTGATGATGATTTTGTGAACAATACTCCACCTAATTTATTCAATATATGTTGTGGAGACAGGCATGGTCCAGGTCAGCCGTGTGCAAACTACGGCCTGCGGGCCGGATCTGGCCCTTTGAAATGAATAAAACTATTGAAAAAAAAGACCGTACCCTTTTATGTAATGATGTTTACTTTGAATTTATATTAGTTCACACAAACACTCCATCCATGCTTTTGTTCCAGCCCTCCAGTCCAGTTTAAGAACCCATTGTGGCCCTTGAGTCAAAAAGTTTGCCCACCCCTGGTCCAGGTGCTGGTGATAGGATACCAAGATGAACAAAGACCGTGCTTTCCTTTAAAAGGAGAGAGACATGAAAAGAAGTGATTACACACCAGAGCCATAGGGTTAAGGTCCCAAAGCAGGGGCTGATCAGCTGCTGTCAGGGATGGGGAGAGAGGGGAGGTCAGAGAGAGTTCCCTCCAGAAGAAATGATCGGTTCAAGGTGGTGAGAAGAGTGTTTCAGGCATGAAGCAATGATGGGTTTGGGGGCCTTATGGCGTCCATGGGATTGGAGTGTGAGTGCTGGAAATTCGTGGTGGGGTTGGTGAGGCTGGAGGTATAGGCCTGGGTCAGGATGTGAGGGTCCATGGATCATGGGGGGTCCATTTAGGAAGCATGAGGGGAGCAGCACAATTTTGCATTTTAGAAAAATCCCTTGGTTCTGGGGGGATGAGTTGTTGAGCAGGATGGGTGTGAGAGGGAAGATGGTAGGCAGAGAGACAAAAAGGAAACCCTTGCAAATAAGAAAAGATGGAGAATATTATTCAACCTTAAAAAAGGAGGAAATCCTGCCATTTGTGACAGCATGGATGAACCCTGAGGGCATTATGCTAAGTGAAATAAATCAGACAAAGAAAAATGCCACATGCTCTCACTTATATGTTGATTCTAAAGAAAAAGAAAACAAACCTAAACTCATAGGCATGGAGAACAGAATGGTGGTGGTTAGAGGCAGTGTGGGGGATGGGCAGAATGGGTAAAGGTGATCAAAAGGAACAAACTTCCAATTATAAATATGTCCTGGGGATGTACTGCACAGCTTGGTGACTGTGGTTAATAATACTGTGCTGTATATTTGAAAGTTGCTAAGAGAGTAGATCTTAGAAGTTCTCATCACAAGAAATAAAAAGTTGTAACTATGTGTGGTGATGCATATGAACTAGATTTATTGTGGTGATGATTTTGCAGTACCTACATATATCCCATTATTGTGCTGTACACCTGAAACTAATGTAGTGTTATGTCAAGCATATCTCATTTAAGAAAAGAAAAGAATATAATAGGGAAGAAAAGGAAAGAAAAGGGAAGGAAAGGGAGGGAAAGGAAAGAAAAGATGAGCTCTGCCCAGGCAATCAGTATGTGAATGGAAGAAAGGCGATGAGCTTAAGAGCTTTTTGGAGTAGTGAAATCCTGTGGCTATTTTGTATGGGAAGTTCTTAATGCTTGTGGCAGTCACTCACACAATGGCTGGGTAGATACAGAGGTAAACGCCTAAGTTACTTTGCACAGCCTGTTGCTTTACACTGACCATTCAGAAGACACTGTAAAGAAAGTAAGAGTGAGGTATGGTATGTTATTGTTTTAAAGGCTTAGTGAATAGAAACAAAAATATGCGAAAGTTGTAATAATATCCTCAAGGAAATAAAAATAAAATTTTATTGGCAATAAACGTTTTGAGACTACAAAGCAACGTATATTTATGACAATATTAAAAGTATTATGAATCTTTTACAATATAATCATGAATTTAACACTTGTACTCATAGTTATTTAACATCTTTGGGCATTTATTTTTCAACCATGAAGCCATTTAAATCAAGTATTGAAATAAACAGCATAAAACAAGACTTTATTAAATATAAAACTAAGATTTAAAAAGTATAATAAAATACAGAGTGGGGCAAAAGTAGGCATACAGTTGTGAGTATGCAAAACAGTTTATTCTTATATTAATATTTATTAATTATTGGAGGCCTGGTGCACAAATTCTTGCATGGGTGGGGTCCCTAGGCATGGCCAGCAATTAGGGCTGATTGGGGCTATCTTGCCCTGTCCCAATCAAGGTCAGGCCGATTGGGGCCTGCCGGCCGGGGAGAAGGATAGGGGAAGGGACTGCAGGAGGTTGGCCAGCCAGCCCTGACCGGGCTGATAGGGGTAGTCGGCTGGGGGGAGGGACTGGCTGGAGGAGGGACCATGGGAGGTTGGTTGTGGGAGTGCACTGACCACCAGGGGGCAGCTCCTGCATTGAGCATCTTCCCCCTGGTGGTCAGTGCACGTCATAGCGACTGGTTGTTGTCCTGGTCATTTGGTCGTAACGGTCACTTAGGCTTTAATATATATAGATTGTATTTTCTATACAAACAAATATAAACCTACTTTCGCCCCACCCTGTATATCCAATCATGTTTTTCACTGAAACTTTTAAAAAACATTGAGTTATATCATTCTATTAGTTTGAGGTGTCCAACATAATGATTTGATATTTGTATATACTGCAAGTCACTGAAACTTTGAATAAAAGTTTTAGGAAGAACAGAAATGTTTTAGTAACATTAAAACATAAGACAAAAGTTTACTTTAAAAATATTTCATTATGACCTTATCCTTATAAATTTTTTAAAAAATATATTTTTATTGATTTCAGAAAGGAAGGGAGAGGGAGAGAGAGAGAGAGAGAGAGAGAGAGAGAGAGAGAGAGAGAGAGAGAGAGAAATGTCAATGATGAGAGAGAATCATTGATTGGCTGCATCCTGCACGCCCCTACTGGGGATTGAGCCTGCAACCCGGACATGTGCCCTTGACCTGAATCGAACCCAGGATCTTTCAGTCTGCAGGCCGATGCTCTATCCACTGAGCCAAACTGGTTAGGGCCTTATAAAATTTTTTGTGTGTGTATTTTATAATGTCCATAATAGATTAATATGGTAATACATGTGTATAATTTATAAAACCTGCAAATAACACAATTAAATAAAAGGTTACCAATAATGGTATGTGTTCAGAAATGTTTTATCTTGGGGTGAGCTGTTAAAAGGTTTGGAGACTCTGGCCTGCAAGACAAAGACCAGAGCCCTTTTCATGGCACCCAGGACCCCTTAGGCTCTAGTCATATGTTTGCCACTGTGTTTCTCATCACAGTGGACTTTTTGAAGTTCCTGGATCAAACTCCACGACCTCGAATAGACTTTGCGTAGTTAGTGCCTTCTACATGCAGCACCCTCTCCAGCTTATCTTTGAAAACACAATCCTTGTCACCTTCTTTCTGAAGTCTTCCATGACTCTTAGAGATTTAAATTTACTTCCCCCATGATACCTCTGTACCTTAAATATCATTAAAAATTATCTTTATTATTGTCATATAGCTATTTATTTTTACATTTGTATCCCCTTCTAGATTGTTAGCTGCTTGGAGACTGTGTTCTTGGCCTTTCTTTGAATCCATGACACTTAACACTGACACTAAAAAAAGTATTTATTGTGAAGATTTGTATTGAGTTGCAGAGCACATTCTAGATATATTTCCATTCGAATTAGCTGAAATAAACAACCATGAACTGGCTCTACCTCAGATTTCCCCCTATGTGTGCCCTGACATTCAAGAGATTTCGTATACAAGTGTAATAGCTTATTTCTCTTTTCTTTGATAAAGCCCTCTGAAAACAATGCTAAGGCAATTGAAAAGGTTGATGGTCTTCTTGAGACGTACATGGGAATTCGAGATATTGAATTAGGTAAGATTATACTATTTTAAAAAGTCTTCTATTTTTTAATTTGATGGAACTTAATGCTTATTTGTATCTTTCTTGCATTGATAGTCAATGATACTTTTCAAGTTGAAAAGTAATTGTATAGTAATGAAAAGCATAATGAAAATAGAGATAATGAAGAATAATGAAAAGAAGGTCTGGCCTTTACCACTTACCAGCTGGGAAGCCTTAGAGTCAAGTTCACAGTTCTAAACTTTTATTTATAAGTTTATTTTATAGATTTAAAAATATATATGAAAAGAATTTTGTAAATGATACATAAACACAGTATTATTTGACATATTAGCTGCACATCTATTACATTGTATGTTTATTATATTCAAGTTGTGCACATTTATAAGATTAATGAAGCCCTATGATAAATAAACCTGGTGTATGACTGATAAGGGCAGTTGAGCAGTGAATTTCTGTGTATTTTTTTTTTTAAAAAATGTATTTTTATTGATTTCAGAGAGGAAGTGAGAAGGAGAGAGAGACATCAATGATGAGAGAGAATCATTGGTCAGCTGCCTTCTGCAGGCCCCACACCAGGGACTGAGTCTGCAACCCAGGCATGTGCCCTGACCGGGAATCAAACTGTGACCTCCTGGTGGTTCATAGGTCCACGCTCAACCACTGACCAATCCGGCTGGGCAATGTTCTCTGGGTATTTCTTATGTCACCATTAGGATGTCAGAGTCTTGATTTATCAATTAAGACTTTCTCAGTTATATATAATAAAACAACAAACTGAACTCCAATCGACTTAAGGAAAATATAAGGTGTGTGTGTCAAGGATGTATTGGTTTTTGTAACTGAAAAGTCCAGAAGTAGATTCTGGCCTCAAGAATGGCTAGATCCAGAGTTCTCATGCTATCATCAGGATGTGATTTCTCTTGTCTCCATTCTGGTTTCATTTTAGGCCCCCATGGTATCCCTTGGCAGCTTCAGGCCCTCCCTCATGACCTCAAAATGACTGCCATGGCTCCACCCTCTACATCTTGGTGTCAAACACAATGGGAAAGAGGGAGGGCCTTTGCCAAGTCATTCAAACAAAATGCTCAGGATTGTCTCTGATTGGTTTGATTGGCCCACTTGATCCAGTCACTGAGGCTAGGGGGATGGTTAGGTCTGGGTCACACCTCTCGAGCTGAGAGTAATTTCTGAAATACAAAGGCTGAGATTGTGAAAGCCCTGGTGCCTTCTGTGAAGGAAGAAAGAGAAATATTCCCTTAAGAAGGGGAGTTGGCTGCTGGGTGGGGAAGAGTATATGTGCACTTAGTGGTGGGGTTTGTGCCTGTATGCATCCTTGTGTGTGTGCTTGGGTGTGTGTTGCATCAAGTACTTAATAAATTGTTTTTTAAAATAAGTGTTTAAAAAGTTGATTTTAGAGAAGAGGAAGGGGAAGGGAAGGAGGGAGCGAGGGAGGGAATGAGGGAGGGAAAGAGAGAGAGGGAGAGAGAGGGAGAGAGAGGGAGAGAGAGAGAGAAACATCTGTTGATTGCCTCCTCCATGCACCCTGACTGCAGGATTGAACCTGCAACCTGGGTATGTGCCCCAATTGGAAATGGAACTGGCCACTTCTTGGTATATGGCAAGACGCTCTAACCAACGGAGCCACACTGGCCAGGGCTGGTACCATGCTGTTGTGATGATGATGGCCTTGTAATGTAGTTTGATATCAGGTAGCCTGATTCCTCCAACTTTGGAGAACCCCACTTTTAACAGGTGAAAACTTAAAACAGTCCTCAACTTTAAAACTTAATTTTACATATAGGCCTTATTGTTATCTAAGTATAAATTGGGAATAGTTCAGTAAGTTAGTTTTGCTCCTTTGTTATTAAAAATACACAGTATATAAGGAAGAGCATTGGGCAGTGCTACAAGTAATTATAAATGAATTAATCAGTTTTTGAAGAATCAATTTTCTTTCACTCTGACCTATTCAGGGAACTAGATGTTCCTTGCACATTTCTTATAAATTAAATAGAAATCCCTTCATAAGTAATCATCTGTAGCAGGTTCCTCCAATGACATGAATAGTCATTATCATTGTACATGATTAGCAATGTGGTCACCAAGGGAGGTAAAGTTCAAAGAAAGTAATTATTTGAAGGATGCAAACATTGTTAAATTAGGAATTTCTCTCATTCAGATCTAATTAACATGATAGGTAAATCACAAATGTGAAACTGCTTCAACAGATGAATTATTTGTATTCCCTGTGTTTCTTAGTTTTCAGAAATGTTAATTCTTTAAAAAACTATTTTTATTGATTTTAGAGAGAGGAAGAAAAAGGAGTAGAGAGATAGAAACATTGATGAGAGAGAAACGTTGATAGATGGGCTGCCTCCTGCACGCCTTCCACTGGGGATCAAGCCGCAACCCAGCATGTGCCCTGACTGGGAATTGAACCAGTGATCTCTTGGTTCATGGGTCGATGCTCAACCACTTAGCCATGCCAGCAGGACTTGAAATTTTAATTCTTAATGAAAATTACACTGATATTATGTTATTCTGGAGATGTTAATGTGCTAAAAAATTTAAAAAGTAATATGGCAATTAAATATCTAAAAACAAAACAGTAACCTCACCCCCCCCCCCCCAAAAAAAAACCCACCACACAAACAAACCAAAAAAACCCCACAAAACACCAAACCAAACAAGAACCTCAACACCTTGGGATGTATTTACTATTTGAAAATGAAAAATAATTCAAATGAGTTTCTGGACCAAGTAACCCTGAAGATAAAAGTGCTCTGTTTGGTTATCAAGTTAAGTTGTGAACTATGACTTTTCAAATGACCTACTGCCTTGGAATGTTACCCATTGGGAAAAAAAAAGGTCTGGAAGATTGTGAATTAAGACCTTATATAGAAACATTGATGAGAGAGAAACATTAACTTAGTGGGAAATTGTATAATATAAATTTCTTAATGAATATAAGATGTAGTGTAATTTGTATATAGAACTATAATATTTTCTGGTGATATCAATTTAGGAGTTTGGTGATTATTCTAAGAACTTTGGACTTTTTAGATTTCTAATTTATAAAGAGATCCAGAAATGTGTAGTAAGGAAATCTGATTGCTAGTTTCTAAGTCATATTTTCCTATAAAGTCTTTTTTAGCTCTTTTAAAAGTATATGATAAATGGTATTTTAATCAAGATAGTGACATTTCTTCCTAGGATGATTTTTCTTTTTTGACTAACGTTAAAACAATAAATATTATAAAAAGTTATCCTTCTCAGGTAAAGCCAATAAAGTTCTGGAAATAGATTTCATTAAAAGAAACTACCTTGGCTCTATTTTGATGTTTGACTCATGTGGATTGTTTGACATGAGTTGACATTATGAAAAGTCTTAGGGAAAATAAGTGTTGAAGCCCTTCCATAGAAAGATACAGTTACAGATTTAAAGGTTAAATTAACAATGGTGGTAGTTAATCTTTTTTTAGTGCTCACCCAAGGATATTTTCCCATTGATTTTTAGAGAGAGTAGAAGAGAGAGGGAAAGACAGAGAGAAATATCAATGTGAGAGAAACTCATAGATTGGTTGCCTCCAGAGCCCGGGCCGGGGAGGAGCCTGCAACACAGGTAACGTGCCCTTGACCAGAATTGCACCAGGGACCCTTCTGTCTGCAGGCTGACATTCTACCCACTGAGCCAAACCAGCTAGGGCTGCTGGTGGTTAATCTTTATCTAAATCCTGCCATGTGCCATTTTATTAAAACAGATCCAGAGAGGTTTGGTAACTTGTTCAAAGTCAGCTAACATGTTAAGAGCTGAGATTCAATTCTGACACTTTGATACCAAGATTTTTCACCTGCAGTAATGTTGTATGTCTGAAGTTCTGTTTAAGTATTTAAGAACGTATTGGAAAAAAAAAAGAACGTATTGGAAAATGCAGATTGATCAGTATCACCAAAATAAGTGTCATTAATAATGTAAAAGTTGTTCAGTATTGGTAACGGTATAAAGATATCCTTGAAATAGCCACAAGAGGTCAGCACTTAGCTGTTACATGTGGTATAACAAGTCTACTGTTAGTGGAGTATTTTTCCCCAAATTGTATTCAGTTGTTAAATATCATTGCAGTGTATTGCAAATGTATTATTGTTAACAGATGAGAAGCATTTTAATAGCTGTGGTTATGTTAATGTGATATGTTTTCCTAGTTCCTTTGCATTTCTCTTAAATCAGAGATACAGTCTTTTATGAAAAAGAATATAATCATGCCAGTTTATTTCTCCTGTAAGGATGTTTCAAATCTATGTTTATACTTTAGGTATTAGCAAAAATTCATGACATGCTCAGTGCATGCTGCATTCTCAATTTCTGTTAAAAATTTTGTAGCAGCCCTGACCAGTTAGGCTCAGTGGATAGAGCGTCGGCCTGCGGACTGAAGGGTCCCAGGTTCGATTCCGGTCAAGGGCATGTACCTTGGTTGCGGGCACATCCCCAGTAAGGTGTGAGCAAGAGGCAGCTGATCAATGTTTCTCTCTCATCAATGTTTCTAACTCTCTATCCCTCTCCCTTCCTCTCTGTAAAAAATCAATAAAATATATTAAAAAAATTTTGTAGCAAATTTGATTTTTAAAAGATTTATGGAGCAGTGTATTACACACAATATTTCCAACACAATTATGAAGCTGCCTAATTGGTATTTTTATTGCTTCTACAAGATCAGGAGTTTCTTGAAGGCACCATATCTTACTCAGGTTTTAATCCCAGCTCCTACCATAGTACTTCTTCCATAGTAAATGCTTGCTGAATATTTGTTGACCAAATGTCTGATGAGAGGCACAAAAATGAGAGTCCATAGGGAGTCTGAGTCCTAATTTCATTAGCTTGAAGCTTTTGCCTTTGAGCAAATTATTAAACTTTGAGTCTTAATTTCTATATCTGTAAAATGGGTACAATAAAAACTTCATAGGGTTGTCAAAGCATTCTAATATGTATACAGTTTCTCTCACATCATAATTAATAGACATAGCTATTATCATTCATAGCAATGATCATTACTAATTATTACTAGTAATAATGGTCATGGAGTGAGAACATGTAGGGATGTATAACTGGACTTGGGGCCAACTCTGGGACTATATTGTGTGTAGGACTTTTTCTTCACTCTTCTCTGTGTGCCAGCATGCGTGTATGAGTGAGATTATACAGCTTGGGCTGTCAGGGTATAGTATGGGGATTTTAAATCATCATTTTTTCTCATTTTGTGACCAAGGAACCCAAACCAGAGATTGCAAATGAGATCAGACCAGGTCTGAACAAGGTGTTCCTGGGCTCAGTACACCAGACAATGCTACTGAGCTTCCTGAGGTACTAGAAAACCACATACCAAGCTTTTTCTTACAGACACGCGCGCGCGTGTGTGTGTGTGTGTGTGTGTGAGAGAGAGAGAGAGAGAGAGAGAGAGAGGAGGGGGTGGAGAGAGAGAGAAAGGGAGAGAGATTGGTTGATTCAGTGTCCATCAGTGTCCTTGTTTTTCTCACTATTCAAGAGCATCAGTCATCTGCACTGTTAGCCCTGGCCGGATAGCTCAGTTGGTTAGAGCATCGTCCTGACACACCAGGGTTATGGGTGTGATCCCCAGTCAGGGCACATACAAGGAGCAACCAATGAATGCATAAATGAGTGGAACAACAAATCGATGGCTCCAGAGAGGGCAGCGGTAGCAGCTGCAAACTTGGGTATAGTGGATAGATCATTTAAAATATCACTGCTACTTGGAGATGTGATTTTTGTACTAGAAATATGTGATAACTATGCATGTTCCTTTTAGAAAGTAAATTTTCTGGTGCTATTTTTCTTAGTCCTCTGATGCTGTCTCAAGTATCAATAATTTTTAAAATCTATTTTTGATAGCTACCACAATATTTGAAGCTGGAAAGGACAAACGTAATCCAGATGAGTTCGCTGTGGCACTTGACAAAACTCTTGGAGACTTTGCGTTCCCAGATGAATTTGTCTTTGATGTTTGGGGAGCCGTTAGTGATGCCAGACGAGGATTATGATGTGGCCGGTCCATCACTGGAGAAACGAACCATTATTCCTGTGTGTATGTGTGTGTGTTTTTAAATAAACCTATAAGGTCTGTTTTTGGACACTGGTTTGGTTTTATGTGTATGGAATACATTCTTTTTTTTGAAATATAATTTTGATTTCTGGGTACTTTTTAATGCAATTGAATATATAGGATGCTTAAGATAAATTACCTAAAATTTGACCAATTTTAATATCATTTAAAAGTTATTTTTAAAGCAAATTTTAGGGAGTGTTTCTGGATAGATAATTTTGTTCCCCATTAATACCCATGTTTGGTTTTCTACATGTAAGTAGTTGATTGCAATAGCTTTGTAGTTCTTTTGCAAAATCTTAATGCTGTGAAAATTAGGCTTGGAATATGACTTGCTTCATAGCATCTTCATTTTGTTATGTGAGCTTGAATAGGATATGCTCAGGAAATAACATGTGAATCACACCTGCTGTAGGTCTAGAAGCACTGTTTTAATTTTCAATCCACTGAGTAAAGGGAGGAGGGTTTCTATAGCCTGTTGATGTCAATGACCTACTCTCTTTGTAAAACAAGGATTGATTGACTTTTATATTTTGCTTCTTTGTAAATTGCTGCTTTGGTTCTTAAAACCTATTGTTGAAATCTACTGCGCTGTGCATTTGTTTGCATGCGTGGAAGAAGGGTGAAAAGGACAGAGAGGGTAGAAATCACGTATACTTGATTTTTGTAAAACACTTCTTGAAACATTGTTTCTTTTTCCACCCGTACCTACTTTTTATGTTACCCTTTGTAAGCACTCCAGGGAAAGTTTTTATAGTCTTTGTAGAACTTTTCTTTTGAAAGAGATGTACTCAGGAAATAACTATGTTTGAGAACACTTTTTGGGTGGAAGAGCAATACATCTCTCAAACATTTAAACCCCCTAAACTTTAGAGGAGATAGTGTCGGAAATAAAGGAGGAAGGGAGCATTGGGAAAATATGTTAGCCTATTATTTTAGAGTTCTAACAGACCCGCTCTAACACCTTACATTATTGAGAAAATTGAGGGTAAATGATTGTCCTATCACTTTTATTGGACATTTTACAGAGGCAAGGAAAATGGAAATGAATGGCTTCAACTCGGATCAGTAATAAGGAAGGGCCTGGTGTGACGGAGCATTCTGCTAAAGTGCTAGATGGAAAATGCTGTGTGCTGCCATGGGAATCAGAAATCATAGCCTGTGAGGCCTGTATTCTAGGAAATCAGAAGCAGTTCCCTTTTCCCGCTGGGTTAATGATTAGATAACTCTTGTTTTCTGATGCAACTTTACTTTTGCTGCCATCCACTCCACTTTCACATAAGTTTAATGCCATGTAGCTGATCTTCTGTGTCTCATTCATCTGAAACCTGCACAGAAGCTGTTTTAGTTATTAATGTGTAATAAAAGTAATGATAGAATGTGAATGGTCTTATTGCTCTTGCCCACCATTTGAAAATAGGATCCAGCTCAGGCTGTAATTTGTTGCTATTTGTTTCATGGTGGTTTTTTTTTTTTTTTTTTTGGAAGTCCTCGAATGACTATTAATTCTTAATATCCTCTCTTAGAAGGATACACACAAAAAAGAACTAATATTTTTAGAAATGGGGAAGTTATTGGATGATTTATCCCATAGAAACATTTTAGTTTGAACAAGGAAATAATTTCTTGGCATAGAAGTTAGATTTGAAAGGATGAGTCCTTGTTTGTTATTGATGGATGTTTCTTCTTCCTTTTTGGGCATGCATGAAGATTGAAACTGGGTGCTGATTCCCTGTAATTTATGGAATCTCAAATTTACAAAGTGAGAGTGCTCACCATGAACTTTCTAGGATTTTGGTGTGTAAGGTACTGATGCCCATGTCCAGTGGTCACTGTAATTGTCAGCGTCAATCGGGCAGTTATCATTATTAAGAGCTTCAGCTGGGCACAGGTGCTTTAATACTAATCGATTTTTCCTTCAAATGTCTTCATCTCTCACCTCTACTGCTAAACTGATAACAGGGACAGTTTCTTTACATTGTTTTAGTCCCTTACCTGAAAATATATATATATTTGTGAACTTTGTGCCTTTTGGTGACTCTCAGTGCACAAAAGGAGTACACTTTCTTTTTAGTTGTCACCGTCTGTTGCTACAATGAAACAAATCATATATGTTTTTTGTTTTTTTTAAAAAAAACATGCCATTTTCCCAGCTGGTGTGGCTCAGTGACTGAGCATCAACCTATGAATCAGGAAGTCACGGTTTGATACCTGGTCAGGGCACATGCACGGGTTGTAGGCTGGATCCCCCTGAGGGGGCGTGCAGGAGGCAGCCAATCAATGATTCTCTCTCATCATTGATGTTTCTATCTCCCCCTCTCCCTTCCTCTCTAAAATCATAAAAATACATTAAACAAACAAACAAACAAACAAACAAACAAACAGCATGCCATTTCATTGGCACCACTAAACATTTCCAAAAAGCCTCTGTCATTTTCTCTTGTTCTGTAGTCCCCTCCCAACACCCCCCCCCCCCGCCCCCCCGCCAGTGGAGAATGGTTCTTTTATTATTGATTTCCTTCCATGCAAAACAGCCTCTTCCAGTGGCCACTAAGAGCACACTGTATGTTTTCTTCATGGCAGAGCATGTAGATGATGATTGACCATTAGGCTCAATGGGGCCTTGAACATAGCTTGGTCCTCATCGAATGTACACACTCTGATGGTTACAAATAGGCATATTTTGGTTTTTTGATGATGTTTTAAAAACAAAATTACATGATTATATGTTGTGAAACTTTCAGAATTTAATTATTAAATCAGCGATCAGTTAACTGTTTGGGGCTGCTATATCCAATATTACAAAATGACTAAATAGAGATAGTTAACTAGAGATAACTTAATTTTTCCAAATGATTTTTAATTTGCAATATTTCCCCTGTAACTTTAACAAATAGATATTTCCCCAGTAAAGCATACTTTATTGAGATCCATGTTAGACCTTCATTAGGTCTAGAGAGAGAGCCTTCCTTAGATCTGTCAGTTATCATTGCTTACCTAGCATAGTGGCAAGATGAAGTTCATTTGCAAGTGACGTTTTCAAAATGAAGGTTCTTCTAAATAGAGCACAGTTACCCACCAAAGTTGTGAAAGATTGATCATATAATGACCCTCTTACTCTCTGATACATCTAAAAATATGTGTGGACCAATAGCATTTCTGTTAGTCTGATGGGAGTATTAGGTTAGAAGCTATGAGTGAATAAAAAGGGAGGAGGTGCTGTTCTACTCATAGTCCCAAGTATTAGTGCTCTGTGTAAAATGTGCATTTATTATCTTCTTGACACACATTGAAAGAGATATCAGAGTAATTACATGTCCTTACACGTATGATGGTTATAAAATGTTTCTGAGATTGTGAAGTGTACAAATGGCACAGCCTGTCCCTCCCTGTTTACCTGAAGACCCAATTCTAAGAAATGAGTCATGGTTATTATCAGTAAGGAGCGTGAAAATTGGATATGACGTCTTTATTTCAATGGGAGACATTAAGTCTCTATAAGACTTAGCACAGCCATAGATATTTTTGAAGCTGTACTAAAGAAAGAAATTTAAAAAATTCTGAAAGATGGGTTTAAGTAAACATTTAATATTTTTAACTCTTTGTGCCATGCAAGAGTTTTGGTTATATATAGGTAAAATTATTCCACATTTTTTTTTGGAGGAAAAAGTTTTTCTCTTTTATAAAAATCATAGCATATACTTTAAAATGTTTTTCTGAGCTTGAATTTTAGAAATCTATTAAGCAATACATGAAATTGTAAATTATATTTTGATATTGTTTAAAAATATATTACTGTTTTTCTACTTATCAAGGTATAAATCTTCATCTCTCAATCAAAAGTAAATTACTTGTAAAGCTATAATAATTTTATATTTTATATATTTAGAATGACTCCTTAAAATAAAAACCTTTTCATTAAACTGTGATAAATGTTTTTAACATGGAAAAAATAAAGATTTGAGGTTTTAAATATTAGACCTTTTAGTTTTGTTTAAATAAATGATGGGAATAACATCAGGCCTCTGATTGTTCAGACCTTTGGGTTTTTAACATATGTTTGGTATATTTCTTTCTCAGCTTATTTTATATGAGGCATAACTTCTAAGGTCTCTTAGTTTTAAATTTTCATTGCTTTGATTCAATGAAAATACACGAGATATACATTGCCACAGTACTTCAGGATAAAATAGTCGTAAGCTGTTTCTGTTAAGAGATGGAGGTTTAGCCAGGGTGACATTTCCCCCTTTGTTCAACCAGTTTTATGGCAGTAGTTTCCAAAAAATTATGTAAGTAGAAGGTATATCAGCCTATAGCTCTTAGGTAGTTATGGATGACTTTGGACTTATTACCTTTTTGATACAGTTTGAAGGCCTTATTTGGGCTGTTACAAATATCATATTTCCTTACAAATATCATGCTAATTCCATATGTTTGGGGTGCAGTACAGGAATCTGCATTTTGACACATCCTCCAGATGGATTTCAGTGGAAGTAAATTATGGACCTTTACTCTGAGGTCTCTGAAGGTCCTGGCCTAGCACTAGGATGGGATTATAGATGTGACTTTAAGAATTCTAACCAGACATAAAGACATCTCTAACACAGTTAGATAAATGGAAAAATGGATGTAAAGTAATATGGGAAAACGCTGTATATGACTGTAGGAATTATTTTAATTTCATTTAAATGGGTGATTTTCTAAGTGTAACTCGGTATTCTAGAAGTATTTATCTAAGAGAAATAGACATCCCAGAGATATTCGCCAACGATACATCTGATAAGAAGATCCAAAATTTATTACGAACTCATAAAACTGAACACCAAAAACACACACCGAACAATCCAATTAAAAAATGGGCAGAGGACCTGAACAAATATGTCTCTAAAGTGGACATACAGATGGCTAAGACATAGGGAAAAAATGCTCACTAATTATCAGAGAGATGCAAATTAAAACCACAATGAGATATCACCTCTCACTTGTCAAAATGGCTACCATCAATAAATCCACAAACAAGTGCTGGTGAGGATGTGGAGAAAAGGGAACCCTTGTGCACTGTTAGTGGGAATGCAGATTGTTGCAGCCAATGTAGAAAACAGTATGGAGTTTACTAAAAAAATTAAAAATGGAACTACCTTATGACCCAGTGATTCCACTTTTGGGAATTTATCTGAAGGAATACAAAACACTAATTCAAAAGAATATATGCACTCCTATGTTCATTGCAGCATTACTTATAATAGCCAAGTTATGAAAGCAGCTCAAGTGCCCATCAATAAGATGAGTGGGTAAAAAAGTGGTGGTATATATACAATGGAATATTACTGGACCATAAAAATGAAGCCTTACTATTTATGACAGCATGGATGGACCTGAAAAGTATGATGCTAAGTGAAATAAGTCAGCCAGAGAAAGACAGATACCATATGATTTCACTTGCATGTGGATCTAAAGAACAAAATAAATAAAATTGAAACAGAATCACAGATACAGAGAACATTTTGATGGTTGTCAGATGGGAGGGGAGTTGAGGAGATGGGCGAAAAAGATGAAAGGATTACAAAATAAATTTGTAGTTACAAAATAGTTATAGGTATGTAAAGTACAGCATAGGAAATATAGTCAATAATATTGTACTAACTCTGTGTAGTGCTGGGTGGGTACTGGAAATATTAGGGGTGAGAACATTTTGTAGAGTATCGGATTGTCTAACCACTAGGCTATATATCTGACACTAATACAAAATAATATTGAATGTCAACTGTAATGGAAAAAAAATAGACTTCCCAGTTGGCACACCATGTGATGGTTTTGCTTTAGTTTACATCTATATTTCATGCTTAATGCCTATAAATATTGGCTTTTTATCTTACCCGTATTAGGTGTTTTATCCTCTTCTAGTTTTGTAGATGAGGATCCTCTGAAACAATGGTTTCTAAAGAACATTTTTGCTTTTAGTGGAATGGAATTGACATGTATAATAAGAAGAGTGACTTGTCTCAGTGAGAGCAACTAAAGTGGGTGCTGTGGTTTTGGTTATGGGAAGGCTAAGTTTGTAAAAAAGGTACTCGAATTCTCCTTATATAAATGTTTCTCTTACCCAGGTTCCTTCATGTATAGGTAGAATGCTGAACATGATTTTCTGTATTGTCTTATGTGTCATCTAAAAGCATGGGGGAAATAACGCTTATGATTTTAAAATATAGAGCCAATGAATTAATTTAATGATGAAAAAGTGGTTTCTCTAAAAGTTAGAATGTCTACCTCCTTCTTATTCAGATAGGTTATTATTAAAAATAACTTGATTTGTTTTAATTTTAATAGCTTTCCAGTGAAAAGTAAGCAGAAATATAAAAATGAAATAAACCAAAGACTTCTGCATAAAACA